ACCCCAAATTGCCTCCCTCTACCTAGTTCCCACTCCACCCCAGGCCTCTACCCCACTACTATCTGTGTCCATAGTAAGATCTTTGGTTAATCTTCTCCCCCCCCCCCCCTGCTTCCCTTTCCCCTATCCCCTTCCCTCTGAGGAGAGGGAGTTTCATGTTTTCATGCCTCTGATTCTATTTTATTCACCAGTTTATTTTTTTTCATTAGATTGTTTTAATTTTGATTTTTAGATTCAATTGTTGATAGATATGTGTTTGTTGCCATTTTTTTGTTCGTATTTTTAATCTCTTCTTCCTCCTCTTCCTATTCCTCTTCCCCTTCCGCTTCTTAAAGAATACCATTTAACATTTCATGTAATACTGGTTTGGTGCTGATTAACTCTTTCAGCTTTTTCTTTTTTGTGTGAAGCACTTTATCTGACCCTCAATTCTAAATGAGAGCTTTTCTGGGTAGAGTAATCTTGGTTGTAGGTTTACTTTTCATCACTTTGAATATTTCTTGCCATTCCCTTTTAGCCTGTAAAGTTTCTGTTGAGAAATCAGGTGATAGTTGTATAGGCACTTTCTTGTAGACAACTAACTGCTTTTCTGTTGCTGCTTTTAAGATTCTCTCTTTGTCTTTAACCCTTGGCATTTTAATTATGATGTGTCTTGGTGTGGGCTCAATTCACAACAAAGTGATTCGATGTGGGGGGTGGGGGGAGGAATGGACTGCCTAGAGTTAGCAAATAGGATTACAGGACATCAGTTAACTTTGAATTTCAGATAAATAAAACCCCATACAATAGTTGGCACATGCTTATACTAATTATTCCTTGTTTATCTGAAATTCAAATTTAACTGGACATCTTGGATTTTATCTAAAAATCCTACCAGGATGTTAAGTTTTTGTCACTGAAGGTATACAGGCTGAGTCTGGAGCACCACCCTGAGGGCTATGGGATAGTGACTGACTGAGGTATCAGATGGAGGGCTTCAGTTTAAGAGCCCCACCCCACCTCCAACCAGGCTGTTGTTGTTGTTGTTGTTAATCCTCACCTGAGGATTTTTCTCATTGATTTTTAGAGAGTGGAAGGGAGAAGGAGATACAGAACAGAGAGAAACATCCATGTGAGAGAGACACATTGATTGGTTGCCTTCTGCACACAACCCCAACCAGGGCCAAAGAACCTGCAACCAAGGTATGTGCCCTTGACTGGAATCGAACCTGGGACTTTTTAGTCCATGGGTCTATGCTCTATCCACTGAGCCAAACCAAGCTTTCAATATCCCATTTCCCTGGGGCAAGGGGCATCCTGCCTGGTCCCCAGGATTTAATTCACTGACGAGAGCCAACAGCTGAGGTTCCTTGTTTAGAGCTCTGCCCCTCAGTGGCCTGCAGCGGCCCCATCCTGCAGCCCCATCCCAGAACAGCTAGCCTGGGGATAGGGATGGGCAAGGTAGGGGGTTTGTGCCAGGAGCTGAATTCATCCCTTCCCGGAGCAGATAGGGACCTAACAACCCAACCCCCCAGGGCTGGGCTCCCTTCCCCACCCCCTTATCAAGCCCCTCTCCTAGGTGGTGAGCTGACACCACCCAAGCGCTGTTCCCTTGGCTTGCCATCACACACACACTCGATTAGGGGGATCCATGTGACTTACAGGGGCTGCTCTTCCCCAGGGTCGGTATTTGCATAGGGTGATGGATGCTGAGATGTCATCTAAACACATCTGCACTTTGCATTTTAAACAAAGCAATTTCCAGAGGAACCTGGGAGAGCTTTGTCTCCTTTCAGGAACATTTCCTCTGAGTCAAATCCTCTCTCCTTTTGGCACTCCTCCCCCCCCCCCCCCCCCCCACATCTGTCCCCATTCCTCTACTGGCCTCCAGCTCACTCCCCACCCCCATCCCACCGCCATGATAGTAGTGACCCCAGTTCAACCAGGGCCAGGCAGGGGTCAGCCAGCCCCCTCCCCATGCTCACCCTGCAGGAGACTGTGACTGGAGGGGAAGGTTAGCCAGAACCTGCCCCCTATGAGACATGGTTTGAGGGACACAGAAAACCTGCTTCAAACATCCCTGGCCCCTCCCCCTTCCAAGATACAAGCCAGGGGTCCCCTAGATCCTCAGCTTTGGGGACATAGGAGTCTCCCAAGCTCTGACCTCTGATAATCAGAGAGCTGAGACCTTCCTCTTCATGAGTCTAAGAACCTGCCCCCAAGGGACCTCTAAGTGATAATAAAAATGTCACCATAATATTGGCTCATAATCTTAGGCTGATGTTTTTTTGTTTTTTTTTTCTCTCCAAAGACAAGTGGGTAGGAATGAAGAAGCAGTCCCTGGAATTTGGTTCCCAGTAGTGTGGTCTAAAGGCCAGTTGTATTTTCCCAGCTCAGTTACTTGCAAGGGGCATGACTTTGGTTCAAGTCACTTCACCACCAAACTGGCCTAGTCAGCCTTCGCTAGTGGATAGAGCATAGTCCTGCAGGCTGAAGGATCCTGGGTCTGATTCTGGTCAAGGGCATATGCCCGTATTGCAGGCTCCATCCCTGGTAAGGGGTGTGCAAGAAGCCAGTCAATGATTCTTTCTCATTATTAATGTTTCTATCTCTCTCACCCTTCCTCTCTGAAATCAATAAAAATCCTATATAATAAAAGGCTAATATGCAAATTGTTCCCTTGACCAGGAGTTCAACCAGGGGGCTGGGCTGGCCAGCCAACCACTTGTGGCCTCTCCCTCTGGCCGGCCCACCCGTTTGGACCAGATGGACCCCACCCATGCACGAATTTATACACCAGGCCGCTAGTAGATCTCACACACACGCACACACACACACACACACACTGTCGTATCCCCTCCAGAGGCCCCATTGCAACAGTGCATGTCAACTGCACTCTCACACGCTGTTCACATTCCCTCTTCCTCCTTTCCAGCTGGAAATGCTGTGAGCTGCCAGGCTGGGCAACAAGCTGCCCCTGGCAGGGGTGAGGGCAGACGTGTGTGGCTGGGGTGGCACCTGGGAGGCCATGTGGTTCTTGCAGTGGGAAAAGGGCGGGGAAAGGAATGGGCATTGTTAAGTGCCTGCTATGTGTCTGGCCCTGCAGCTGGCTAGTCGATACTGTGGCATGGCAGATAAGAGACTTTAATTGAATTCCTACAGATGTGAATTTGAATCTGGGCTCTGTGACCTTAAACATGTTGATTAACCTTTCTGAGCTTTAGTCTTCCATAAAATGAAGGCAGTAGCATTTACATCAAACATACACTGTGAGGAATGAATGGGACAATATGGGTAGAATGTCTAGGATGTAGCCAGCAACCCACTGATAGATCCTGTTAGCATCTTTTCAGGATGAGGTCAGCGTCATGGTGCAGATGGAGAGGAAGGCCTCTGGCCCTTGACCACACCGCCAGTGAGGCCAGAGCAGGGTTTCTGAGCCTCAGCCAGGCTGGATCCAAAGCTCATGCCTCACCTTGGTAGCCGGTCCACAGAGGACTGAAAGCTTGACCTGCTGTGTCTAAGTGGGAGAGGCAGATCTGACCAGGACCCTCCCCTGCTTCAAGCTCTGTCAGGGTTTCCCACTTGTCCTAGGATAGGCATCTGACCAAGCCCTGTGCCATCTGGCCTCTCTGCTTTCCAGCCTCCTCGTCCTCCCCTCTGCCACCAACCAGGCAGATGGTCTTCTTCCAGCTTCTCGAGCAAGTCCAGAGCACATCAGCCTTGCTGTCTCTTCCTCTCTATTCTTCAGCATCTCTCTCTCTCTCTCTCCCTCTCCCCCCTCTGATATGCCTCCCCCAGCCTCACCTGTTTTCTCCTCTCCTCCAGGTCCCAGCCTCCACCTGCTTCCTCAGGATGGTTTTCTTGTACAACCTTCCCACTCAAAGGCCAGACTGGTTCCCCTTCCACACTCCAGTAGGCTGCTGAAAGTCTCCTGTTTCAGATGCCCTCATAAACTGCTATTTTCTCTGTTCAACTGGGAGCCACCACCATGCCCCCAAACTAGCCCTGTGCCAGGTGATGAGTCAAGAGGAACTGGTGTCGGTCAGGGAAATGAGGACTGAGGCACGAGAGCACACCTTGGGAAGGAAGGATCTGCTTTTCTGGGTGTTTTCTGAAATAAAACTCCACTGCCCGCCTAGGAGGCTGGAGGTGGTGCCTGGGAGGGTGATCCTGGGTCTGGGAAACTACATACGGTCCTTTTGCACAACAAAGTGTCAGGCCAGGTGAGGGACAGCTGACTGGATTTCAGGTGGTGGCTGTTCTTTGGGGCAACATGAATTTGCAACAGAGGCAAAATGGAGTATCTGAGGTGGTGAGGTTTGCTCCACTACCCCCACCCCACAGCCTTCGCTGGAGAAGGATTTGTTTACTGGACCAGCTTCTGACCTTGGCTTGTGTGGAAAGGTGGAAAGACACGAAGAGGCTGAGCTGATCTACACCAGCGGTCGCCAACCTTTCGGACCTCTGGTGGTCCGTGCACCGCCGGTTGGTAACCGCTGATCTAGATAACAAAAAGCTGGATCTGGGCACCCACGGAGGCTGAGTTGGGGGCGTGAGGAGATGCCCGAAGGGTTTTCAGGGGCAGCTGCTGTGAGGGAGAGAGGAGGTAAAGAAAGAGGTTTCTGGTGAAGTTTGGCTGCACATTAATAACCGAACGTCCCACTGCTGATGTTGACAACGCTCAGGATAAAGACTTGGGTCACTTTGGTTTGGTGGTTTTCTGGGCTGTTTCTTTGGGGTGGGTGGCTGGGCATTGAACGTGACCTTGGGCTCTCGCAGGGGCACGCACTGCGTGAGGGGCTTTGAACACAGGGAGAGAGTGCAAGTGCAATCAGGCGGCCTCACCCTTAGCACTGAAAGTTTACAGAGCAGTAGACCTGGCCCAGACCTGGCCACTGAACACACTTGGCTGCCCAGAGAATGGAGGCTGAGCTGGTTCTCACGGCCTCTCCTGCCATCAGCCTGTGAGACCCAAGAGCTGTGCCGTCCAGGAAACGGCGGCCCAAATATAAGGTGAAGAAATTTCCAATAGGCCGTTCCTTATTTATTAGATTCCAGATACACGGGGCCAGGACCGGAGAATCCTAGGGGGGTTGCATGTACAGGGGCGTCCTGGGGGTAACACATACAGAGGAAATACCACAGGTGCTGATGCGATGATGGATGCCATTTAAAAATATACACACATCTTAAGCCATTCCAGCCACGTTAGCATTATTAGAAAATAAAATCATCTTTCCACGTAGTGCTTTTCTTTGGTGCTGTCCCCTGGGCATGGGCCCCTCTGCTTGTCCCAGGTTTCTCACTGCTCCCCCCTCCCCACCTCTCCCACCTGCACAGGGGGGAGGGGAGAGTATGGAGGGGAGGGTGACCCTGGCGCAGGGCTGCGTGCAGATTCAGCTCCTTTGAGGCCTTGACATGGCCTCCCAGACCACACCCCTCTCTGGTTCTGAGACAACTGGTTTCCTGTATGCATAACCTGGGGTCACCATCCAGGGTCACGCATAACAAGACCGGCCAGAGGCTTTAGAAAGGGTGGGGACACGGGGACCAAACAAAACCCAGCCGATACCGCCTTCTCCGTGGTTGGATTTTTCCACTTTATTTCTTGTTCACGTCGATGACCTGAATCATGAGAATACAACTGAGAAGGGCTTGTTCTGCTTTAAAGGGTTCCCAGGAACAGCAGGTTTGGGGTCAACTTGAATTCTGGGGGAGGGGACTGGGTGTCCCTAAACTCTCCTCAACACACCATCCCCCCTAAGGCAGGGCCACCCCTTCCCAGGGAGGGCTCAGTCCCCACCTAGAAGCCGCCCCAAACGTGTTTTCTGAAGGCTAGTGGCTCTGTCACGTGCACGCAGGGCCGCCCACTGAATGGACTTCCGTTGCCCTAAGAGTTAAGAGCATCAGCAGCGACGCCTCATTGACACCAGGGCCACCACCCCTCCCTGCTGGAAAGGGGTAAGGGAGCTGCCCGGGTACAGAACACTGCCCATGCCAAGCCAGTCGTGGTGCCTTAGAAGCTTTTAGAGGGGGGACTGGCAGCACGGTCCTCACACTCAAGCAGGAAGTGATACCACACAGAGGCGGGAGCCCAGGTGAGGCGATGGCACCCTCTGCCCCACCGCCTCCAGCGCTGGGCACAGTGAGGGGCACGTTCTCGCACCGGGAGTTCTCCAGTTCAGACCTCAGGGCACGATGGCTGATGGTTAAGTTAGACCTGGGCTCTGGTCCCCGTTCCTTGATACTGAGGAAGTGTCTGTGTGTCCATCCAGACCAGGGACAGTGGGGACCCACACAGAGCTAGGGAGGGAGTGTAACCCAATGCTGACTGTCAAGTGGCCATGGCCTTGGATTCCCCACAGCCACAGTGGGGATGGGTGGGGCACACGTCTCGGTCTGAGTCCCTTGGAGCCCTTCACCTTTCCTACAGGAGGACGTCAGCCGGCCCTCCTGCCTGGGAAACGGGTCTGTGTGGGGAGACAGAGGGGAGCCAGCAGCTGCGGTTTGCCAGTTTGCTTTAGAAACATGAGGCTGAGGAAGAGGGCGCCTGGCCGCCTGGTGTCCTGGCGACAGGTGGGTGGGGTCTGCCTGCCTCTCCAGGTGCCCGGAGGTTGGGCTAGAATGGGTGTGGATTCCCCAGAAGTGTCCCAGGTAGTGTGGCTCTGATGCCTGCATCACAAGGCCTGGAAGGGCATCGTCCATCCTAGGACCCCTAAGCTGCCCTCAGGTACCTGTCACACCCGACGAGGCGGTCAGAGCCATCCTCCCCCAAGTGGGCTACCACAGATTTTCGTGACCACTCGGGGGACCAACTGTTCCCGTTTGCCCACAAGGAGGATTTCCTGGGACACAGGATTTGCAGTGCTCAAACCAGGAACACCCAGGGCAAGCTGGGGTGCTTGGTCACCCCTCACAGCAGCGTGGGGGCTGGGTGGTTCCACATGAGAGCTGGGCCTCCCAGTGCACCACACCTGCTTAGTCAGAGGGCGGCTGGAGCCACCCCCACCCCATGGCATCTTCTCCCAGCCCTTCCCTTGGGAATGCAGGAGGGGTGACCTGGGGTCCGCTGCCCAGAACCAGGGTGATCAGAGGCTGGTGACCTCCACTGGGCTCCCCATCTTCTGGTTTCCCCTCTTGTTTATCTGCTTTGAGGCTTTTATGTGCTCAGCAAATGTTGGTTTGGGCCTCTCTATCCTGCCCGGATTCTACCAGGACTGCCAGCCTGGAATCGGGGTGCCCAGAGCCCTAGGGCTGCCAGCCTAGAATCAGGGTGCCGAAGGTCCCAGGACTGCCAGCCTTGACTCTGTGTGCCGAGGCTCCCAGGACTGCCATCCTAGAAAGGGGGTGCCCAAGGATGGGGCCAGGATGCTGCACATCCCCCACTTCCCACAGACCGCCTGTGTGGACTGCCCTGAAGATTGACGGAGTGGTAAAGGCAAGGAGAAAGGAGGAGCTCCTCTCTGAGCCAGCACTGTCCCAGCTGTGGCCCCCTGGCTGGCTGAAGCAGGGCTCGGTGAGCTCTGAGGGAGGACAGGAGGCAGCAGGGGCTCCTGGGGGAGAAGAGGAAGAGGAGAGGCAGGTCCGGGGAGGCAGGACACCGAGGGCTGGAGCGCCAGGAAAATGAGTGAGTCTAGCCGCTGTTCTCTGGATGGTGAGTCCCTGCTGGGAGCTGGTGTGTGCGGAGCTGAGGGGGCGTGTGAGGGAGGGGCCACTGGCCTGTGGAAGGCTTGGGGCCCCTTGAGGGACCTCTGGAACTCCAGAGTGCGGAGGGCCCCCAGGACAAGCACCTGCCCTCGGAGAAAGGAACTGCTCCAGGTGGAACCCATGTGAGTGTGCCCGAGTCCTAGGTACCAGCACTGCCCACCAGGACAGGGGTTGGTACAGGGGGAAGGGATGGGTCAGGAAACGTCTGAGCTGCCTCTGGGTGGTTTGGTGGAGAGAGGGCCCTCCTTGGTGGTCTCCGGTCTCAGCACTGCCCGTGGAGAAGGAAAAACATACCAAAGAAAAAGCCAGTTACAGATGAGCCCCACGCCCTGCCCTCCCATCCCCGCTCCCGTCCCCAGCACCCAGGTCCCTGCACGCAGCTGGAGGCATGTAACCCCTCCTTCTGGGACTGCCCGTGGCCATGACATAGGCTTGCAGGTCGAGGCTGGTGGCTGAGGAGGTCTCTGCATCCGGCCGGCCGTTTGTCCACAGGCAGGAGTCCATCTGGGTGCCGCGCCCTCAGACCTTGGCCTCCAGCATCTCCAGGAAGAGTTTGCGCATTTGCACCTTGCCCTGCAGTTTGAGGCTGTAGAAGTGTTGCACGGCTTTGGCGGCCGTCTGCCGCAGCAGGGGCAGCGTCAGTAGCAGCTGGCCCGTCCTCCGTGGCTCCGCGTGGCGCTGGCTCAGCTCGTAGTCCTGCAGAGCCTCGTGCAGCAGATCCTGCAGCTTCTGGACCGCCTCCAGGTCCTCGATGTACATGGAATCTGTGGGAGCAAGGGAGAGGGTCAGGGGCCCTGGGTGGAGGGCACCGTCGTGGGGGATGGAGGCCACCACAGAAGCCTGGACTCTGCTTTGGAGCCACCCAAGTCCTCATTTTAGGGAGAGAAAACCAAGGCTCAGAGGCTGCCAGTCAGTCTGAGGTCACAGAGGCCAATGGCAGAGCGAGGGTTGGACCCAGCGAGAGATCCTATCTATGGAGGACATTTCGAGAGACAGAAGTAGAGACCCCAAAGGGCATGACCGTGAACAGACCTGTAATTGCCCTGAGGAGCCGGGTGGACTGTGGAGCCAGACTGGTGGTGGTGGCACCCTGTGTCCCTCACTTGCTACCTGTGTGACTCTAGGCAAGTTATTTAACTTCTTGGTGCCCCATTTTCTTCATTTGTGAAATGAGATAACAGCCATACCTACCTGTTAATACAGGTCAAGGGCTTAAAACAGTACAAAGTAAGTGCCCAGCTAGTGATATCACCACCACCACCACCATCACCACCACCATCACCATCACCATCATACCCACCATCATCATCATCCTCACCACCATCACATCACCACCACCACAATCATCATCACACCATCATGACACCCATCATCACCCTCACCTCCATTACAACCACCACCACCACCATCATCATCATTGCTACTATCACACCCACCATCATCATCACCCTCACCACCATTACAACCACAGCTACCACCACCACCATCACACCCACCACCATCACTACCATTACAACCACAACCACCACCACCACTATTATCGCTACCATCACACCATCATCACCATTATTATCGCATCGACCACCATCATCATCATAACCACTGCCATCATCACCACCACTACCATCATACCATCACCACTATTACCACTACCACCATCACCACCATTATCGCTACCATCACACCATCATCACAACCACAACCAATATCATCACCATCAGCATCACCATTGTCATAACCAATGCCATTATCACCACCACTACCATCATACCATCACCACTATTATCACTACCACCATCACCACCAGCACCATCAGCACCATCACTTTACTGTTGCTGCTTCTGATGCCAGATACCAGCTCAAGCCTTCAGTGCAATAGGTAACCTTGAAAAATGCTGATCACAGAACACAGACACCGGTGAAGAGGCTAAGCTCTGGCGGGGTGCCCCGTGGTAGGGAACATGGCGGGTACTGAGACACATGGCTGGACACATGAGGCACAGTGATGCAGGTAGCTGTTGGAAGGGGCCTTTCCAATCTAAAACCCTGGGGAGTGTTTCGGTCTCATGCCATGAATTGGAGGTTCAAATAAAATTTACTCAAATCTCAGCAGAGCAGGAGGGGCCTGATGATAGCTGGGCAACAGTCAGGTCTGAGCTGAAGCAAAGGAAATCTCCTGGAAGCCATTCCCTGATGCCAGAGAAAATAACAGCCTTCTTCTGACTAATGTTCCTTAAAGACTCTGAGCCGCCACCTTGAACTGTAGCGCCCAGGGCCTGCCAGAGCTGGGAGGGGAAGGGAGCGTGTGGATCCGGGAGCTTGAAGCTGAGTGGGTATCCAGGAAGACTGGGCAAGTTTCCTGAGCTACTCAAAGGAGCGGGGCAATTCCCTTGCATGTTGGGTTGGTGTAGATACCAGACTGCTAAGAGCAGCTGCACCAGCCAGCTGACACCAGTGACCACCCCCTGACCTTCTGGGTCTACGTGCAGCCTGTGCCTTCAAGGGTCCTGCCTCTTTCTCTTGGGAGGATGGCAGTAGGATGAGCTAGACAAGACTCCAGAGTCTTAGATGCTGCGTGGCTTTGGCCAAGTCACTTAGACTCTCTGAGACTGTGTCCTAGTCTATAAAATGGAGCACCTAAGAGTGCATACCTCACAGAGTGGTGCTGAGGGTTAAATGAAATAGCTTGTTACCAGGCACTTAATAAACACCTAGTACATGATACTACTTTCATTATTAGAGGCCCGGTGCACAAGGTTTGTGCTCTGGGGAGGTGGAGGGGGTGGAGGAGGTGGGCAAGGAATTCCCCAGCCCGGCCTGCACTCTTGCAGTCCAGGAGACCACGAGGGATGTCCAACAAACGACTCCCCCTCCTAAGGGGGAGCGAGCCTGTCATCAGTCGGACATCCTTAGTGCTACTGCAGAGGTGGGAGAGGCTCCTGCCACCACCGCTGTGCTTGCTAGCCATGAGCCTGGTTTCTGGCTGAGCAGAGCTCTCCCTGTGGGAACACACTGACCACCAGGGGGCAGCTCCTGCATTGAGCATCTGTCCCCTGGTGGTCAGTGTGCTTCATAGCGACTGGTCATTCCACCGTTGAGTGGATTTATATAGTATTAGCCTTTTAATATAGGATGGTGAAGACTCTAACATAGGGGTGTCGAACTCAATCAGAGAAGGGGCCAAAATCTAAAATCCAGCCTAAATCGCGGGCCGAATGGTTTACTGAACAGTCATAAACTGTCATTGTGATGGAAACGCAGCGGAGTGCAGTGATGACAGCGCGGTGCGGGCCACATTGCAAGGCCTGGAGGGACGGATTTGGCCCGCGGGCCTTGTGTTTGACACATGTGCTCTAACAGGATGAGTGCCCTGGCAGAGCTGGGATGTCACTGGCCCCATACCCAAGGCCCCTCCTCACTTTCTGCTCTTGATACCAAGGCGGTGAGGACTCCTTTGCCGGTTACAGAGGCAGCAGGGCTCCCTTCCTCCTCTTGCAGCTGTTTACAGAGTGTGCACCTCAGATGCGCTAGGCCCTGTAGGCTGGGACCTGGCCCTCCAGACTCCCTGCCTCTGCCAGCTTCCCCTCCCCACCCCCGCCTCCCCAAGGAGGCCAAAATTGGCAGCTGCCTTCGACCAAAAATGAAATAAAATAACATTGCAGGATTAATTTCTTTGCAATCCATCAGCACGTCTGTATCGATGGCATTGATAAACTGTTAATTACAAAATCAATGGCGATGATTTTTTCCTGCTGTCAGAGAGGCTTGCAGAGGCCAAGACACGGGTGAACGTCGGCCAGCAGGCTCCGGAGGGACCCTGGTTTGGGGCTCAGCCTGTCTCTGATGTGCTTCGCCCTCTGTCTAGTGTCAGCCCCCTGAGCCACTGAGAGGCCCTGTCCCATCCACTCTACCTGAGCAGTGGCTCCCTCAGTGGCCCATGCGGCTGCCACCAGGCTGACCCCCCGTCCCCGTCTCTTCTCCAGCTAACACACTCTGTCAGCCTGGGTGACTTGCCTACCTCACTGCTGGGGACAGGCCACTTCCTCTTCCCCTCTATCTTTCACGGCTCCCAATCCCTTCACAGCTAGGAGCCTCTGTGACCCCAAATTGTTTTTCTAGCCTAACCCCCCAAACGGCCTGTTCTTTCCCCGTCTCTGCCTGCAGTTGATTGCTTCGCTGTGCAGCCAGGGCCTGGGCATCACCACCGCCTTCTCTTCCACCTTAGGCTTCCTGACCCGGCACGGAAGCAGCAGGATAGCCCCATAGATGCCTCTGGGACAAGAAGTCCAGGCTCCTGGAACTTCGTCTCACATGACCTGTGTGTATTTAGGCAAAGCTTGGTGCTCATGGCACCACACCTCAGGTGGTGTGTGCATATCTGTATGAGTATGTGTATGTATATACTTGTGTGTATGTGTGCATGTGTGAATATAAGCGTCTGTGCATGTCTGTATGTGTTGAGATCAAGGCGAGAGCCGCTGGCCATGCTAAAGAGCCTCCTGAGAGTCCTAGCAGCGTGGTGTTGAGGAGGTGGGGGAGATGAAGGTGACAGTTGAGTGGCCTCCCCACTTTTCTCTCTCTCCTCCCAGCTGGGATAAGCTTGAGCTCAGGTCTGCTGTGAAGTGGTCAAGAGACTCCAAAATCGCCCTCCAAGGCCTGCCAGCCCTGCTGTCTCCCTGTGTTGGCCCTGTGCCCTCTGATTTCACCGTGTCCCCTCCCTTCCTGTGCCCATCCACAGCGCTGCCTAAGGTGCTGCGCTGAACAGGTGGGCACAGGGAGTGGTGACGCTACTCTGTAAGACGTGTAAGGATGGAGATCTGTCCCTGTATAATGCAGACTGAAGACCCCGGTGGCAACTGCGGACTTTTATTAATAATAACATACCAACATTGGCTCATTCATGGTAACAAGTTGGCACACCAATGCACGATGTTCCTAGTAGGGGGAACTGTACAGGGGTATATGGTACTTACAAACCACCTGCTTATCCTGTCAATCTAAAGTCACTAAAAAACCCCAACAGCACTGGCATTCTCCTACAAAACACAGACTACAATAGGGGACTCAAAGCATAAATGATCTCTATAGAAGCATGCAAATTTTAAATTATTATTTTGTATTGGTTTACTAATAAAAGGGATTTGAACTAAAATAAAAAAAAACCAAAAGCTTCCCTTTTTGGATTAGGTCAGTTCCCTGGAAGCAGGGGCTGCGACACGGGTTCAGATCCATGGGGTTCATAGAGGACATGCTTTCAGGAGAAGGAAGAGAGGGACAGGGCAGGAGCCTGCAAGGTAAGGACGTGGCCTAGGCCTAGCCTGACCCCACCCTGCCAGGAGTTCAGCCTTTGGTTCCCCCGTGTGGGCCACCATTGGCTGAAGGTGCCAAGGGGTGGGTGGGGTAGGTACCCCTCCTGGCAAGGCAGATGCGGGTGAGTCTCTGGCGAAGGGGGGGACTGTGAGCATCAACTACAAAACTCAGCAGCTGGGCCTGCGAGCAGGGACCCAGGGAAGGGGGTCAGATGGGACATCAGCAGTGTTCTCTGTGGAGCCATCTGTGAGGGGTCCCCTGGACCCCATTAGCCTGGGACTGAGGCTTCCTAAATGTGGGGCTTGCAGGAAAAGCACAACAATAGCAAGCAAGCCCGTAGGTTGCCCTGTTTGTACTGTCTCCACCTGAGCCAGCTCTCCCTCTCCCGTATGCTGATAACGCTGTGTCCTCTAATATTAATAATAATGATAATAATTAATATTTATTGAACATTTCCTCCAGGTCAGGCACTGGCTAAGTGCTTTATCTCCTGTCGATCATTTCATACACAAGTGCTTGGAGGAGGTACTGGGACATCCCCGGACACACAAGGACAGAGCTAGGAAGACTGCCAACATGTCCAAGGTCACACTGCTACCAAGGAGCAGAGCTGGAATTTGAACTTGGGTCCATGTGACCCAGACTTGAGTAGGTAATTCAATGCGCCGTCCAGCAGCAGAACAACACATGCACATGCTGACAGTCTTTAGGACGGGACCTCGCCTTTCCCTCCCTTCTGCAGCCCCATGGCACCCTGCACAGGTGGACGCCATGTGCAGATAGAATACGTTTAAGCTCATTCCCCTGTGTCAGCCCTTTTCCCCAGGAGCTGGTGGGAAGGAAGAAATGGAACAAGGCCTCCTTTGAACAACAGACTAAACAACTCAGGACATTTTTCTCTCTTGGACCTGAACAATTTGATCGAGAGATTCAAAGAATGGGCATGAGCTCAGGTTGGTTTTGGAATCATAGGACGTTGGCTTGACTCCTAGCTCTGTATGACCCTGGACAATTTGTTTCACCTTTCTGAGCCTCAGTTTCCACATCTGTAAAATGGGGTTAAAAATAAGAACTTTGCTCCCAGGGTTGTTTGTAAGCATGAAATAAGTGCACAGCTAATTTATTTAACAGGCTAGGCACTTACCATGGGCCAGGTATGTTGTCAATATAATTTTAATTACATACAAATAAATCATGCACACAGTCTTGTGGGGTAGGGCCTTCCTACTGTTCTCATTTTACTGATGAGCAGGCAGAGGCACCGCATAAAGCAGCCTGCCTGAGTGAAAGAAGCAAGATTTGACTCTGAGTCACCTTTTGCTCTGAAATCTGTGTCCTTGACCATGTGCTGGCCTGGAGGTCAAGGGCCCAGCACAGTGTTTTGCAAATCAGGGCTCAGGAAACACTCAGCCAATGCCGGCCTTTGCCACCACCCTTTTAACCCCAGACCGCCCCTTGCACAATCTTTGGGAACAAGAGCCTCTGGCACCTTCACACCTATCCCCCTCACAGGGCTCAGCGGGGTGCTCCCCAGGCCTGAGGTGACGTCCCACACTCCCCGTTACCTGAGTTGGCCAGGGCCAGGGCCTTGAGGGTGACAAACTCCTCCTTCTCCACCTTGAGCTTCTTGTATCGGCGCACGAGATGCAGGATGGCCCGGTAGAGCTCCAGCAGCCCCGCCAGGCGGGAGTGCTCCTCGTCCATGATGTAGTCGTCGGCGTACGCCAGCTTGTCGTCATAGGGCTGCGAGCGGTACACGATGCCCAGGATGAGGATCTCCATCCAGGCGCTCTGCAGCAGGCTCATCTGGTCCCCCAGGGAGAGGTTCGAGAAGCCTGCGGGGAGAGGACGCAAGGAGGGCGGCCGTGGTCAGGCGGGCGGGCCAGGGCCTCCCTGAGGCTGGCCGGAGGGCCGGATCGGGCAGGGTTTGGGCACCTCCGGATCCTGCCATTCCCCCTCATACCTTTGGGACTCATCGTCCTTTTGTTGGTGAATGAGTCAGACGTGGGTTTCACGGAAAAGACTTACCTAACGAGCTCAGTCAGCGTTGACACTTGTTATTATCGTCATTACTGCTCGTTCTATGGTATTTTTCCAAATGCCTGGAGAGGCTTTTTGATTAATGAAATGCATTTGTAATTTAAGGAGGTCGTGAATTCATAGAATTAGGAGGTGGCAGGACAGGGTCTCCTCGAGTCTGGGCAGTTTCCAGGCTCCCCAGTCTGCTCGAGCCCCAGAAGGCTTCAGTGTGCTGAAGTGGAGCCTGCCCCTCCGTGCAGAGTCCCAGCTGCTCCTGGCCAGTGACCTCCGGTGACCTCCAGCCTGGGCCTACAAAATGCTCAGGGGCCTCCAGGGTCGGGGGAGGGGGGCACTTTGTCACAGGGCAGCCTGTCTTCCCTGGGGTCAGGACCCTGCTGCCCAGGCCATTCCTCCATCTAACGATGACGCAGCAGTCCCGTGTTCTGTGAGCCTGGGCATAGGGAAGGCTCCAGAACTGTGCCACTGTCTTGTCCAATGTGTTCTCAGGATTGCCTGGCCTTGAATCCTGACTCCCCATTTACTAGCTGTAGGCTGACCTTGGGAAAGCCGTGCAGCTTCTCCATGCCTCAGTTTCCTCATCCGTGAAATGGGTGTTAACAGTAGTGCCCGCTTAAGAGTGTCGCTGTGAGGGCTAAGTGAAGACAATGGTGACAGGACACACAGCAAGGTTGCGAGGCTTTTACTATTGTTGGTGATGAGATGAAATGCATTAGCAAAATGAGAATAATGTACTGGAATTGCATTATATGTGCTTAACTGTGCAAAGTCAATTACCATCTCGATACACAAGGCAGAGAGGTAGGAAGGTAGGAAACTGATTTTCAAACAGCTATTCACTACACACGGGGTGACTTCCGTGACTGGTTCCAACGCGGACCACGTCCCAGATGAGCTGAAAAAAGGAGCAGCATCCACACACACACACTGGCACCAGCTGTCACGGCAATGAAAAGTCGGGGACTCCCAGGGGTAATTTGCCTGTGTAGGACCCCTCACTTCCCTTGCAGACCTGGAACCTGACCCCGCCTGGATGCGCGGGCTGTGAGGATGAGGATGGTGAGTGGAAGCCCGAGCGTCGCCCCGCACACAGTGGGTGCTCAGCAGTGAAGGCTATCGTGGCTACGCGTCCCGGTGTTGTTAGCATGCTATTGCCATGACTCTCACCGCCCATTGGACTGGAGGCCTGGGGTAGCCCCAAGCTTCGGGACTAGCCCCTCGCTCTGGGCTTCCGTGGTGTCTGTCCCACCCTCCTCTGTCTCTAAAAAACACCGTCCTACCTCTTTTCCAACCTGTGTATGTGTGTTCCTCTGTAGGGTGCCCCCTTACCTGGCAGGCTGGCCTCTCCCCGTGAGCACCCTCTTAGTCTATCCTCACAGTTCTCGGGCCTGATCTGCCCCACCCAGGCCCCGGCTGCCGGCATCCGGGGTGACTGACAAAAGAGCGGATCAATTCTAGTATGCAGCTCTTTAACGAATAAGCACATTTGTATAATAATTGCACGTATTACCTGGGTCACATTACCCTGCTGACTCGGGCGGGCCTGCATCGACGCGCCTTCTCGGGGGACGGGCCGCGGCACATAGGGTCAGGGGCGTGTGCTGTCCCGATCCTGGGGGGTGGTGGGAGCGGTGTGTGGCTCCCCGTGGTGGCGGGGAGAGCCGGGAGGTAATAAAAGAGAGATAGAAATGGACATCCAATTTCCCTTATCGGGCTTCTGAGCAAGAGAGGCCTCGGGCGACATTAATTAACAGATACCAATCAGCCAGCCCACGAGGGTGTGTGTGTGTGTGTGTGTGTGTGTGTGTAGGGACGTGGGGGACGGCACTGGGGTGGGGGCATCTGACAGCAGACAGAATGGGAGGAAAGAAGTAGGAGGTGGATGGGGAGAAATTAATAGACAGTTGGATCGGAAGGTGGCAGAGAGGGAGGGGAAGGGAAAGTCTCCTTCTGGAAACAGAGAAAAGCCCCCCCCACCCCCACCCCCGTGAGGCTAATCACGCAGGTACGATCACAGGAAGAATGTGAATAGCATGCCTCTGCCCCTTCATGCATCCAACAAGCATTTATTGAACACCTAATAAAAGGCCCCACAGCTGAGGCAGGATGGCCAGCTCTAACCGGAACTGGTACTGGCCCAGCCTTCAAGAGTTTGCAGTAAGAAGAGAAGGACACGCCAAGTACCGCGTGTCACCAGGAAGTCATGACAAGAAGAAGCGCTATGAGGAGACGGAGGGCTCTGAGCACACACAGTGGGGGAGTGGCCCAGAGGAGAGCCTGGGAGGCTTCCCAGAGGAGGAGACTCTGAGGTAACAAGGAGCTCTGACAGCACACAGCTCCATGTCTGTGTGCCCCATGCCCTGAGCTTCCTGTCATCTTCCCACCCCCACTGCCAAGCTCCCATCCTGGTGCCAAGAAGGTGCCCAGCAAGTGTCCAAGTCAGAGGAGAGAACGGGCAAAGGCCACTGGGCCTTGACTCCCAGGTGATAAGAAATTGTGCCAAGAGGACGTGGCGAGCCCCTCTAGTCCTCCAGGCGTGGGGTGGGGGGGGATGTAGCTGCCGTGGAGTCAGAGGCAGGCCTGCCCTGTGGCGAGGGGGCAGGGAGGCGGGGAGGGAGGGAGACAGCTCATGGGGGAGTTGTGTGCCACCTCTGGAGGGTGTGCCCCTGAGGCCCGTGGCCAGACCGCCCCTGCTTGGCTGATCTGAGTGGTCTCAGCCCCTGACTTCTCCCTTCCTCCCTGAGCGTTTTCAAAAGGAGCCGGATTAGCTTTGAAAATCTAAATGCCAAGTGCAAGGAAGGGGGAAATATGTGAGCTTTTCTAATATTTGAGAAAAGAAACACTAGGAGGGGAAATGGGAAAGAAAAAGTGTTGCCTCTAGGAGGAAGGAGGAGGAGGAGGGGACGGGGATGGAGACGAGTCCTGTGAATACATTTTTGCCTATTTGGGGCGTTTGAACCTGTCCCTGTTTAAGGTGTCCAAGGATAAAATTAGATCAAGTGCAAAAGGAAAGGTATGCTCCCTCTAACCCAGCCATTCCACAGCTGGGAACTTCTCCCAGAAAGAAAAGCATGTGTAAATACACCCAACCACGTGCGCAGAGGAGTTTGCTGGGTCCATCTGAAATGGCCCAAAGCAGGACAACCCAGATGTGACCCAGGTAATACGTGCAATTATTATACAAATGTGCTTATTCGTTAAATGAGCTGCATACTAGAAGCCACTAGAAGAATGAGGTAGAATGTGTGTGGATGTGGAAGATACTCAAGAGCATAATAAGGGCGGGGATAAGGGTGAAGGGCAGAGGCCGGAGCTGGACCATATATTAAAACCCCAGCTTTGCTGACCACTGGCTGTCTAGCTCTCTGTGCCTCAGTTTCTTTGTTAGTAAAGCAGGAATACTAACAGTCCTGACCTCGGGGGGCTGTTTGAATTAAATGAGCTAAGGACGGGACATTTAGAACACTGCTTAGCACATGGCAGGTGCTATACTACTGCCTATAATTAAATGGAAGAAGCAGGTACAGCAAGTTATAGTATGACCATGGAGGGGAGGAAAACACGTGTGCGGGAGCACTCGTGTGCTCGCGCGCACACACACATGCATACAGTGGGTGTACGTGTACAGGAAACTCCCAGAGGGAACTCCACCTCTCCGTCACATCCCCAACTTTACCAGAAGCCCATACTCCTTTTATTTAAACCCAAACATAGGGGCTGAGCCATTCCTCCCTGCCCTTCAGCAAAGCACCCTCCACTTCCGCTTTTCTGCCAGGGCTCCTCCACTCCTCCATCAAGCAATTCTGGGGCCCAGGGGGCCGCTGGAAAGGCTGGGTGTAGCCCTGCCCCAGGAGTGCAGCCGTCCCTGTGCCTGGCTGACCCCCGAGGGCACTGGCCTATTCGGTTCTGCCCCGCTGGCTGCCCGTGGGCCCTCTCTCCCGGGGTCTCCCACCTTGAGCTCTGCTGCCCCCAGAAAGTTGCTTTATCTGCACCAACTGATCTAATAACGTCAGGTTCTCCCCCATCCCCCACCCCCTTGTGACTTGACAGCAGGAGCTCCTAGAATTTAAAAAAAAAGAGAGAGAGAGAGAGAGCGCACACATAATTTGTGGCAAGTGGAGTTCATAATCTGTTAATTTATTATCGTTTCTGTCGACCTGGAGGGCCATTAGCAGAGGTAATAAAGGGAGATGTAATTATAGGCTCTGAGGCCACTCCAGACACAGCTGCTGTCACTCGGCAGCCCATATTTCATCGGCCGCTGGCATGCTGCTCCTAGGGCGGGCCAGACGGTGGCTACCTGGGAGCAGGGCCGCTGGGGGGCCTGATGTGGGGGTGCCTCTGGGGTCCCCTGCAGAGGCCACCACATGTTGGTGAGGACTCCCCCAGGACTGGCAGGAGAAAGTTCCAGCCGGGGCAGCCTCCAGGCTGCCTGGGCTGCGGAGGGAGAACCGGTTAATCACACCTAATCACACCTGGAGGCTGCTGTTCATGAAGCGGTGCCCACCGCCTGGGGAAGGCCAGGGCTCCGCTTCTAACCTCTTGCTCACCGGGAGCAAGAGGCGGACACTCTGAAGGCTCGAGCTTGTCCCCTGGGCAGCCCAGCTCTTGGAAAGTCAGCATCTGGGGGAGGGAGACTTAGGCCTGATGCACACAAAAGAGCGGCTGTTACTCTGAGCAAATCCCAACCAGGCCCACCCTGTGTGTTCACCTCCCCGGTTAAAAGGGGGGTGGGGGGCGCTGGGAAGGAGTGGGTGCTGAAACCAGCCTTCCTCTAGCTAAGCAGGTGGCTCCGAGCTTCTGTGTGCCGTTGGACTGTTCACAGCATCTCATGCCCTTTTGGACTTTTCCTCCGTGGCCTCTGCCCAATCAAGTCTGAAGGTCTAACCGGTTCAGTGGCCAGAGCATTGGCCTGCAGACCGAAGGTTCTGGGTTTGATTCCAGTTAAGAGCATGTACCTTGGTTGCAGGCTCCTCCCCAGCCCAGGCCCTGGTTGGGGCTCATGCAGAAGGCAAACCAAAGATGTGTTTCTCACACATCAATGTTTCTCTTTGTCTTTCCCTCTCTCTCCCACTCTTCCAGAAAGGAAGGAAGGAAGAGAGGGAGGAAAGAGTGAGTGCCAAAAAGAGAGCAGGCCTAGTAGGAAGGATGCAGGCCTGGGCCCGCCTGGGGGGTGTCTGCTCCTATCCATCTTGGTTCCTGGAGAGACCGGACTGGCTCCTTACAACTACTCAGGAAGAGAGCGTTGAGCGGGAGCCGGAGCCTCTGTCCTTCACAAAGGGAACATCTCTTGTCTCGGTATCCTCCAGCTTCCAGGTCAGAGCCTAGCACCCAGGGGTGCTTCATAGCTGCCTTTGCATGCATTTATTGAACACTGACTGTAGGTAGTAAGATCTCTTGCTAGGATTTGTGGCTGATACAAAGAATTAGACTCATTCCTGCCCCAAGGATCTCATTTGGGAATAAGAGGGATAATTTTTGTTGTTTGTTTTGTTAGTCCTCACCCAATGACATTTTCCCATTGATTCTTTAGAGAGTGGAAGGGAGGAGGAAGGAGGAAGGAAGGAAGGGAGAGGGAGAGAGAGGGAGGGAGAGGAAGAGACAGAGACAGAGAGAGAGAGAGAGAGAGAGAGAGAGAGAGAGAGAGAGAGAGAGAGATCAACGTGACAGAGACACACCTATTGCCTTGACTGGGGCTGGGAGTTGAGCCTGCAACCAAGATGCACGTCCTTGACCATAATCGAATCTGGGACCCTTCAGTGGATGGGCCAAAGAATGTATCCTTTAAATGTATCAGGCACTTGATGTGTCATCACCCTTAATATGAGGTTTGCATGCAGTGGCAGGAGGCTCCATTAATTAATTTTACCTTACTAGTAAACACTAGAAGGTCAGGCCCAAATAATTCAGCATGCAGATTTATGCAAAATAGGCAAATTAGTGTCTGAGGCAGACAAGTGAGCCCCTGTGTTTACTTTATTTTTTAATCAAAAAGAATTCAGCTGTGGACAAAGAGCAATGGCGATGCGAAAGGGGTCTTTTAACACTATTGCCAATAAAGTACCGGCAGCAACGATGGCCATGGTCTCTGCCATGTGCGGGCCTGGGCGTGTGCCTTATCCTCCAAGCACCTGGGGAAGGGGATCTAATCCGAGTCCCAGCTCACAGGAGCGGACACTGATGCTCAGGGGGAAATGAAGTCTCTTGTAACACCAGAAAGGGCAGCTGGGGTCAGCACCCAGGTCTGCCTGAACCCGGCGTTTGTATCCCCAGGAACCACTCTGCTCTGACCACTGCCCTCTGGGTTGGGCACAGACAGGAGGTGGAGCTGGGATGACAGGACAGCCGGGGAGGACCGGGTGCAGGGGAGACGGTGCTTCCTAGCTCTACCCTACTCTCTGGGAGGTGGCGCAGGGCTGGGTGGTAGGAAGGGGAAGCAATGGACCGGAGGGCCACCAGGAGCCACTCCTGAGCCATCGCGGGGATGCTGTATCTGCTAGGCCCAGAAGAGGAGTGAGTGATAGGAGGGGTGCCGGGGAGCTGCACCCGATTTGGCCCTGGGTTAGTGGAGCAATCCAGGCTGAGGTGTCTTAAGCAGTGGCCTGACCCCACACCTGTGCTGACCCAGCACAGGGCAGATTCAAAACCACTGAGTGTGTAATCCCAAGAGGCTGAGCCGCTTACTGAGGCCGCTTCAGTCCAGAGCCCCAGTGCGCCCACCCCCGAATCAAAATACCTCGGGCCACAGGGAGTCCCGCAGCGCAGCGCAGCGGGGATTCTAGGCATCCTGCCAGCTGAGCGGCATGGGCATCCCCTCTGAGCCGCACGGCCCCCCACCAGCCCTCGCCTGCGGGAGGGACCTCCCTGTGAACTGTGCACACGACTCACGGGGAGACCTTTCCACTCGCCCCACCAACCTCGGGTCTTGGCATCACAAGGCCAGGACACCTTTGCTACATAAGCATGGCAGCCGTTTCATCATTCAGAGCTCGTGACAAGCAAACAGAGAGGATCCCCAGACAAGATTCGGGGTCCCGTGCCGCGTTGCGAGGGAGAATCCCAGTCCAGGAGAGCCAGTGCCAGAGGACTATGGGCTGTCCCCACCGCACTACGAGCCGAGTGTGTTAGAACCTTAAAGCAGTGGTCGGCAAACCACGGCTCGAGAGCCACATACGGCTCTTTGGCCCCTTGAGTGTGGCTCTTCCACAAAATACCATGTGCGGGTGCACATGTACAGTACGCTCGAAACTTCATGGCCCATGCGCAGAAGTAAGCTCTCAAAAGAAATTTCAATCGTTGTACTGTTCATATTTGGCTCTGTTGACTGATGACGTCTGCCGACCACTGCCTTAAAGGGATACGCTGCACAGACTTCAGCAAGGTCCTTGCCGAGTGGAGTGGGTCATACAAAATATGTGGGTGCCAGTGTCTACAGAAACAAAATTAAAAATCATCTCCCATCGTTTATCCAGAGCAAGAAGAGCTAAACAAGGGTGAGGGGTCGGGCCGCACTCAATGAAGAAAAGCCCGCATCGTCTGAAACATGTCTGTTACATGTACTTCCCATGCCAGAAACGATCGCAAAATCCCAGAACCCGGACAAGGAGACAGGCCTCCCTGCTGGCAACAGTGAGCGTGCAGCTTGATGTTAGCACGTGTCTCGTGTGCACACGCATGGCCACATGTCAGCCTCACGGTGCAGCCCACAGAGGAGGTAAATCCCACAGAGAGGAGATGGAGCCGCCCAGGGTTACTCAGCTAGTAAGCTGCAGGCCCAGAGTATGAATCCCAGTCTGATTCCCAAGCCCTGTTCTTAACTTTTCCACACCACCGGCCCCCGGCAGGGAGCTGGAGAGAGGATCCCTCTCCTGCGCTGTTTTCCAGCATGTTTCCAACAGGGCCTACATGGACTCAAAGACCTTCATTCTAAAGGGGTTATAATTGCGTCTGTATCACCTCTTATAGATGCAATCATAACCCCCGTTAGAATGATAACCAGTTCTGAGGAGCCCCCAGAAGTTTAGGGACATGACGGGACCTTCCAAACACATGCTCACCTCCACTCCCACAGGGAGAGAAAAGGAAACCAGAGACAAACAGGCTTGCCAAGGTGTCATGGGGCTGCTGAGGCCAGGCTCCCGTGGGGAGAGCAGCCGGAGGCCCCTGCGAGCACGCTCTCGGGGTTCTGTGTGACTCACCTGGGATGTGCTTGGCCCAGCCGATGATGCTCACGAGCTCTTGGTCTGCCAGGTCACAGAGAGTGGTCAGGGCCTTGATGTCGCTCTCAGGCATGCCAGGGGGAGGCCTGGCAGATGGCTTGTTCGGCTCAGCCACCAGCAGGTAGGAGACGATCTTGGTCACTGCGGAGACCAGAGGAGGCAAGTAAATGGCTGGAGTGAGGAACGGGGCTGGAGGAGGCCTGGGTGGAGGTCGGGATGGGTCGGGAAGACAGGTCAGGTACTGAGGAGCCCAGGAAGGTCAAACTTGGCTGTAATCATCCCTCCCCTCTTCCTGACTCCACAGGGTTGCTGGCAGTGGCGATTCAGGTTGCCGAGAATTAGCCTCCAAGGGAAGTTGCCTGGTGAATTCTCCCAAGAAGAACCCGCTGCGTGTGGGTGGCTAGAGGGGCATGCTCTGGATGCTGGAGCCCAGGCCTCTGGGGACCACACTGCATTTGGAACCACATTCTGGGGCATCCCTTAGGGAAAGGCCTTCTGAATACAGGATCATCCTGAAGCACCTTCTACCAATGCCAGGCACTGGTGCCTCCTCCCCCAGGTCCACATTATCCCATAACCCAGCACTGGGAAGACGGCGTGTCCCCAAGGGATGCCAGACGTTCCCGTACAGAAGCTGGCAGAAGGGGCACGGACTGCCTCGGCACTCACATGGCTTTTTAGCAGGTGGGGGAATCTGTAAGCTCAGATACGGGCTGTTCTCCGCGTCCAGCCGTCGCTTGTATTTCTGGCGGCCTCCACGCACTCGGTCAAGACGCACGCCTGTCGGGAGGAAAGGCAGGAAGACTCAGGGGTCGTTCGGCATCACCAGGGCGGTCAGCGCTGACTGGGATGTCAGCCCTGGCTGAGTCCTTCCGGCCCACACCCTCATGGCCTCTGACAGCTGCTGGTGGCCAGCCTCAGGCCTGGTGGTTGGACAAACCCTACACAGTGTTCTACAGTAACAGCCCATTCCCGCTGCCCCGGCCGGGTCCTGCCTCTACGGAGTCAGCATCCCCTGGAAGTCCATCCCAAGCAACCTTCAGCTCCCGAGTCCCTGTTCCTGAAAGGGAACGAGCAACAAAAGCACTCCTCCTCACACTGGGGAAAGGTCTGCTGTGAATCCGGAGAGGGGTGAGTCAGCTTGCCAAGCGAAGAAAGGGGTACCTGCCATTGGCAAGCACCTCTAAGAGTTAAGAGAAGGATTTTCAAACTTTTCACCCAGGCAGCACCGGGGTGGACCCTCTTTGCAAAAGTCAATTTCCAGATCCCACCCTCAGGGATTCTAGGCCAGAGGTCTAGAGTCGGTCACCTGCACAAAGTGTCCGTGGGATGCGGACACAGGTGGCCCCGGCCACATCTGGAAAATCGGTGCCTCGGGCTATCTCAGCAGCAGGTGCAAAGCAGCGTGGCCACTCACACGGACACGCATTTCCAGGAGTGAGGCCCCGTCCAGGAGAGATCCGCATTGTCCCTGGGTCCCTGGTTTTCAGAAGAAACCTGCCCCTCCCCCAGCTCCTGCTGTCTGACACCCTCACCAGCCAGCAGAGTGGGCAGGACCTGGAGAGGGCACCTCATCCTCAAAGGGCACACAGCTCTGACTGCCCCCGCCCCCCATGGCCTGACCTGAAAGGATGGGGAGACCCACCACGTTAGCTCCAAAGTGGAACCAAACGCAGAAAACAGAAGGGCTGCCCTTTCCTCACCACGAAATGAGCCTTGACTAAAACACATGAGAAGTCAGGGCCAGAGTCCTGAGAGAAAGAGAGCTCAGTGGCCTCCCCGCCTCTGATTTGACCCCCTAAGTTCAACTTTCTGTTCTTTCCCCAAAGGTCAAGCTGCACCCTCCCAGAGCCCCAGTCAGTCCCGGTCTTCAGAGCCCTGTTCTCTCTCCCCCAGCACTTCCTCCGCGGGTTCTGGCCCCTTCCGTCCTCCCAGCTTACACGGCTCACAGATCCTACCAGCCCAGGCCTCCCCTGGGGAGGGTGGGTGGGTGGAGGGCAGGGAAGAAAAAGGCAGGAATAATCCCAATTTAACAGAATGGAAATTCAGATTCCATTCAAGCTAGGGGTGGTTTTCTGGCTGTTTCTTCTGTGAGGATGCGTAGGAGAGGAAGTTCCCCAGAGCAGGAGAACAACTAGAGGAACATCACCGTTTACCTACAGCAGGGGCCACCTCTTTAAATGCTAATGGCCCTAAAGGAACTTCCAGGCAGGAGTGCCCAGCCCACTGCTTCCAGTTAGGGGCCCTGAGCACATCCACCTCCTGGAGGGTGAGGAGGCTGCCTTGAGCTCACCAAGCCTAGCAGACTGCCCCAGGAGACACAGACATGTCTTTGGGGGGAGGGGGAGAGAAGGAGAGTTGGGGGGGAGGGGTGGCATGCAGTCACTGCTCAGCATTTTCATTATTTGCCTCCTTTACACCTTCCAGCCCGGAAACTCAGCATCTCACCCTGCTTCCTGTATAAAGGGAGGCAATCAATCCCCCTGATTGTGGGTCTAGGCAGGGGGTGGGGTGGGGGGGAGGGGGGGTGGGGGGGGCACGCCTGTGCCCACCCCCACTGTGGATATCAAAGTAGTCCTCTGGAGGTGGAAGCATGGATGGTGACACAGGCAGGCTTTGAATCAGGATCAAATGACACAAAGACAAGAGGGGACAGGGTGTAGGCAGCACGGGGCCAGACCCTCCTGGTCACTGGGTCCCCCGGGCCTGGGCTCCTCGGCTTCCCCAAGTCTGAGTCTTTGGCTGGTTTTGGGTGTGGTCCTTGAGCCTCCTGATAGGTTCCCAATGAACTCCCCATCTGCTTTAGGGGCCAGAGTGGGTTGCAACTGATCACCTCTGTAGGGGTTCCCCAGGAGCAGACCTGAGACAAGGATGCACACGCAGGCAGGCAGCTTATTTGGGGGATGACCGTGCTCCGGAGCAGGCTATCCAGTGGGCTACTGAGGACCCTGGGAGACCATGCGGAACATGTTTCACCCGCCTGGATGCAGAGAAGGGCCGGGCATTGAGCCCCCTCTCGCACAGTCAGTGGGCCTCCTCGGTCCAGGCCTAGCCGGCGCTGGCAGCCAGAGAGAGCCCTGGGCAGAGCTGCAGTCCCAAGGTGGCAGGTCATCGCACCGGCCAGCGATAGTTGGCTGAGTACGTGTGGGGGGCCACCACGGGCCACCTTCCTTCACAGTGTGGTCCAGGGCCAGCGGCATCAGCAGCGTCCAGGAGCTCGTTAGAAATGCAAAAATCTCAGGCCCGGCCCCCAAGGAGTCGGAGTCAGCATTTTAACAAGGTGATTCATAGCAGGCAGGAGTTTGGGAAGTGCCGCACTCTGGCATCCTGGCGGGGCTGCTGTCAATCAGCTCCCATTCGTCCCTGGGACCTTGAAGGGACAGCTGAATCTTCTCTGGCACAAAACCTAGACACCTGTGCTGCTGCTGCTGCTACTTCAGCCCCCATTTGCTCCCTCCCCACTCCCAGCCCCTTCAAGAGAGGGCAGAAGGAGCAGGCGCACAAACACAGGAAGGATGCTCTTCCCTTGAAGGTTTTTGGGGAAAGTCCTCTGGCAGGGTTTTCCTGGCCCCATCCTGTGACCCAGCCACACAGCAGCCCCCCTGCCTACCACACCCGAGGGGAGTCAGCCCTCCACCAGCTTGGCTTCCCCTCGGAGAGCTGATAAGACCGAGAGTGACAATGCCAAGCTTCATTCATGAAGGACGCCAGGGCCCCCATGTCCTGGGCACCTCCTCTGTGCCAGGGTCTGACGTGGAGTCCAGGAGGAGCCCTTCCCCCCATCGCCGACTTCCTCTCTTTGAAGGTCGCCTCCTGAGCTCTTCCCTCCCGCCCAGCCTGCCTGGCCCCAGGCAGCTGTCAACGAGGGTGGACATTTCTCAACAAACAGTAAAGAGGGACCTATCTCTTAGCAAGACAGGAAGAGGGGCAGTCACCACGTTTGTTCTCTGTCCTGGTACGGGACCTGACCCATAGTGAGTGTTCAAGAAAGTCTTGATGAATACAGAAATGGGGGTACCTCCTTTCTCCCCACCCTACCCAGGCCAGGGGCCTCTTCCAGGAATCCTCCCCCACCAACTAGGTGCCCCTTATGCCCAGAGAGACTCAATCCTACTGCAGGGTCTACCTTGGCACCCCATACGAGTGGATGCTTAAGAAATATTACCACCACCACCACCATCATCATCATTATCATCATCATCATCATTGTTTTTCTCCCCAGCAGTGTGTGCATCTCTCTGGAAAATCACATTAATAGTAAAAATGTGAACAGCCTAATTTACAAAGGACTTCATGTATTGCCCTACTTAACTCACAGCATACAAAGCAGGTGCTATTATGCCTATTTTATTCTCTCCACCACCCCCACACACATGCCTTCTCCTCTCCCTCCCTCCCCCCAAGAGAGATTTAGTAGTTTTTCCAATAAAAAAGCCAGCATCCAAGCTCTTTGCCATTCCAGGGTATGACCTCCCGGGGCACAAACATGTAAACTCTCCTTTAAATTTTCTCCTCCAGATCTTTACAGCACAGTGGTCAATGGCTTCAATCAATAAATGTATCAATTATCAGGTCATTTGGTTGTTTTTTTTTTTAATACCCTGTTGGTTTTGATTATGCACAAACCGACCCGTGGTGAGATGCCTTTGCTCCCCTGCCTCCTGCCTGCTTTCCCTGTAATAGCCTCAGCCCAGGGGATCCAAAGATCAAGGTCCCAGGCCCTCACTCCACCCAGGCCGGGAGCCTCTTCCAAGAATCCAAAACAACTGGCCTTCCCCCCCACCCCCCCACTAGGTGTCCCTTGTGCCCAGAGAGACTCAATCCTACTGCAGGGTCTGGTTTCCTCATCACGTAAAGGGGAGGAGACAATAGTACCACCAGCTCCACTCACCAAATATGGCTTTTGTGATGATCAAATGACACACTAATGGGAAATGCTCGGTAAGTTGGGAAGTGGTTTCAGCAGGCAGGAGAGGCTGTCACCCCAGCGCCCTGTGCTTCAGCATTCACCTGGCACTTCTCCTGCCCCCCGCCCCCCCCCCCCCCACCCTGCTTCCCTCTGGTCCCATCACAGCTCTTCAATTCAACAGGCTCTCAGAGGACAGGGCCCCAGTCTGCAGCATTTGCTGAGCACCCTGCCCCACAGGCACGGTTTGCTAACGATCATTTCCAGGAGAAGGGTCCTGTGGCAGAAACATGTGCTTTTCAACCAAGAGACTCCTTCTTGTAGGCGGGGCTTGGGCAGAAGGGCACCCCTTAAGGGAAGTGAGTGCCCTTATCCCTCCTGCCCACACTCTTCCCAAAGGCAATTCACATCCAATTGTCTGAAGGCCCAGTTCAAGCATTCTCTCTCCTGGCACTCTTCTTGGGCTCCCTTTGCTCATCCTCTCTTAAAGTCCCTGTAGTTAAAACAAATCTTCACAATACACCGCACACCCCTCTCCCTGGGCAAGGTCTTCCATTCGTCTTTGTTGCCCGACCCAAGGTCCAAGTAAAATGGTGTGCCCCGCTGAAATGAAGCAGAAGAATCTCAGAGTCTGATCTTTTGTCCAGTTTCCATTGGTCCCTCCAGAAATCCACTCCCTCAAGTCAGGCCATTCATTCCTCAGGACATTTCCTCCTTGTATTGAGTTGCATTCTGTCTCTGAATCAGGTCCCTCCCTTCACCCCATCCAATAAGACGATACCCTTCCACAAGACAACCCTTTATGGACTTGAACTTCCTTGGGCTCCCTCCTTCCATTTCCAAGCACTCTTTATTTTCTATATCTGTGCAGTGT